TAGAGGATGCAATCATTAGGGCATGCATGTATCTTCTGCACCTCTAACCCTAGAGGGCAGACAACCTTCTTTGCTTCGTACGTACTCTCGGGTAATTTGTTGTCCTTTGGAAGCATATCCTTTATCATTACCAGCAACTTTCCAAATCCCTTGTCAGATACACCATTCTCTGCCTTCCATTGCAGCAATTCCAGTGTGGTGCCCAGCTTTTTCTTGTCACCTACGCAATTCGGGTACAACAATTTTTTGTGATCCTCTAACATGCGCTGCAACTTCTTCTTCTCCAAATCACTTGCGCAGTTTCTCTTTGCATCGGCAATGGCCCGACCTAGATCATCAACGGGCTCATCTGATGCCTCTTCTTCAGCTTCTTCCCACATTGCTGGCTCAGCTTCTTCCCGCATTACCGGCTCAGCTTCTTCCCCCATTGTTGTATCATCGTATTCAGGGAAGCCATTTGGAGTCAACTAGCGAGATGAACTCATTGGAAAGTCTAGGCATGTTCTTGTGGATGCTTGGAGGCCCTCAATCGTTTCGCCAAGCCGAAGATCATGCGCTCTCTCGAGCCAATCAAACCTTCCTTCCTTGGTCTGAACCGATGCAAACATTTCTCGATACTGAGCCTTCATAAATAGCATGCTTGAAGAGAAAAAGAGAGGAGTTCCTTCCTCAACTCCACATTCACGAACCATCTCCATTGCCTCATTCATACTAGGGCCAACCGGAGGAGGGGGAGGAGCAACCAGAGGAGGGGGAGGACGGGCCATGCTGGAGCTAGATGCTTCTCTTATACTTTCAGCCGTTACACATATCGCATCACTAGCCTTCTTGTACATCCGAACAAATGGGTTCTTCTCATCTTGAGCAGAAAAAACATCTTTACATGACTTGGTTTTTCGCTGCTTCTTTGGTTTTGCTTTGATGACTTCATCATCATCCTCTGCACTATGAGTGTCATCACTAACATCCTCCTTGTCCAATGGCATCTCACCGGGGATAGCTGACTCGGCACCGGTGTCATGACGGTCATCAAACATGAGGTCCATTTCAGCCAAGTTAGGTGGTCCTCCATTCCTATACTTTGCATGCTCCGGGTTTTTCAGAAATATAGCAAAAGAACAAACGGTCAGCTAAATGGATAATTAAGATAATATAAACCCAATGTAAATGCTATGAGTAACATGAACTTACTATTAGGTGAGTGTTCCACCAATCAGTATCAGCATCAATGGTTCCTAGCTTAGCATTCCATCCAAGTCCAGATGCATCAATTTGCAGTTGTTTCCATTGACAATACATAGTTTTGAGATTCTCCCATCTATTCTTGAATTGCATCCTCACATAACTTTTCTTAGTTATCTGCAACCAGCTCTCCCCCAAATTCTTATATCCTCTAGGACTCAAGAATGCCCCTGGCCTATTGCCTGCTTGAACTTCCCTCACACACAACTCGCAAAATACCCTAGTATGGTATGCATCCCAAATTGCCTTGTCTGTCTTGTCTACCTTCTTTGCTGCCTTCTTCGCTGCCTTATTCGTTGCCTTATTCGTTGCCTTCTCCATCTAGTTCATTTTCACCATAATTTATACCAGAATACAGCACAAGGAAGAACTATGTATAGCAAACAAGCATGTCCAGCAAGCAAATAGAAAAAGATATGTCCATCATGAAACAAGCATAGCCATTTGACCCAAGCAGAGCACCTACATGTACATCCAGCAAGTAGAGCATCCACAGCAAGCTTCAAATATTAATTTACCCATCAATGAACAATAACTATGCATCATATATCAGCATCATGTATGAAGCCTCAATCAACCAGAGCATCCACATCAAGCAATATGCAACATATCAATCAAGCAGGGCATCCACAAAGAACAAAAATTTCTGCCAAGAAAATCTCACCCCAATCGATGACGACATCGTTGCTCGAGGGAGTGGGCGTCGTTCTCCGACGGTGGATGGGAAGCCGAGTGCAGGCGTTGGCCGGTGAAGGGGACCGGCGAAGACGATGAGTGGAGGCGGCGGCGGCTCTTGCCGCGGCAGTGGCGTCTCTTGCGGTGGGCGAGGACGAGTGGAGGCGGCGGCTAGTGACGGCGAGTGGAGGAGGCGGCGGCGGGTGACGGCGAGTGCAGGAGGCGGCGGCGGGTGACGGCGAGTGCAGGAGGCGGCGGCGGGCGACGGCGAGTGCAGGAGGCGGCGGCGGGCGACGGCGAGTGGAGGTTGCGGCGGCAGCGGAACCCTAGGTTCCTCTTGCGATGAGGGAGACGAGATGAATGGATCGATTGAAACAGGGCTCGGTGGCATTCCTTTCGTAATTGCGCTGAACTGTCAATGGCGTCGGTGGAAATTTGACCGAGGGAAATCGGCTTCCTGGTGGAAGCACGACTGGCCTCGCTTCGCCCTATACCACGTAAAAAGGCCCGAAACCGTTTTGGACTGTCAACCGGAAACTGCCCCGTTTTAGCTGTTTGTTACAGCTTTAGCTTATTTCTACCGGAAACTGCTCTCTAAAACCCAAACAAACACAGCCAAAAAGACACGCCCGATCACCATCCTGTTACACATCGTTACACGGTTCATGTCATCATCGTGAGCACTAATTAGAAGAGGTGTCTCCTACCTGTATGGTTGGCCTAGGCTACTAGGAACTGTCCTAGCTAGGTCCGGAGCATGCCATTCACTCTTAGAGCTTCATGGACAAAGCTCCATAGGAAACGGACAAAAAGACATGAGAAGAAGTGTGGGT